GACAACTTGAAAATTCCACGCTCGTAGAAAGTCTGATCCTTTTCGGCCAAAAACTGAGTTAAGTGAGATTTTACAGCGTCATCGTCATTAAAAGTTTTACCACGATGGGAGTTGTCCAGGGATCGAAATAAGTGATAATCCGATGGCGCGAGATCAGGGCTATACGGTGGGTGTAACATCGATTCCCAACCAATATCCATCAATTTTTGCCGAGTGGACAAAGACGTGTGCGGCCTAGCATTGTCCTGCTGGAAAATGACACCTTTACGATCGACCAATTCCGGTCGCTTTTCCTTGACCGCTGCATTCAATTTGTCCAGTTGCCAACATTCGCGGATAATAAAAAATAACATAATAATAATAATAATAATTTTATAATATAACATTTACGGATGTCATAAAAATGGGAGTGAGAGACATCTATAACTGAAATCGGCATTTACTTAGTTGCCAACCCAATAGAAAGACGCGGGAGCAGAGAGCGGGTAGGAAATAGAACACCGTGCGAAGAAAAAGTGGGTCTTGGCCGGTGTTCCCGAAAATAAGTTTTTCGGTCGCATCGGCGATCCATGAGGCGGTTTAATCGGCTCTCTTTTCTTCGCCGAGCCGGAGAGATCTTCGCCATTCGCGTCTTTCGGCCGCGCCGGCGACGCCGCTTTCGAAAGTCACGGTAATCCCCGCGACCCTTAAACTTCGGCGCGGTTGCTCCGGCTCCTTTGAAACGCTTTTGGCCGGCACTCAAAACAACGGTGCCGTTCCTCGAATTTCCTGCGCCCATTGTCTGACTAATACGGGCCCGTCTCCGCTCCCGGAAACCACTTTCGCGGAACGCTTCATCCTTGGCCGAGGCGCTACCTGCCGTATCCGACACGTATCGTGCGGCTGATTCGCGATCACACGGCCACTCGTGATTATTATTCAACGTTTCTCGTTATTTTCATCGCCGGGAAGCGGCCCGCGGACGGGCTAACCGACGGAGTCGCGTCAAAATCAAAGAACCTTTCACAGAAACGAGGCGAACCGACGATTTGTTTTACTTCGCGCGGCTGAAATGCTGCAGAATAAGAGAGACAATGTAACGCGAACGATTTTTTAAGCTCGACGATTTATGTTCAACTTGAGATATTGCAACAAAATAGTGATTTATCCGATACCGTGTACTGTTGGAGCTTTCTTCGATTTTGCACAAATAATATTGGGATTTTCAGTTGTCTGTCATAAAACGATAAAGAATAATGTTGTTATTTTTGAATATTGTTATTATTATTAATCTTTATTAACGAGCTTTACGAGCTTCTTTATAGCACAGGTTTAACACTTTGACTGCCGAGCTAAGGAGTTTTTATTATTTCAATTGTCTTGCGTTCTAACAAGATGTTGATCTCCATGAAATGATTGGTCCAATTGAAATGCAATGTAATATGTACGAAATGATTCCAAAGCGGAATTTTCCTCAAAAATCGCCGTCCTAGGCTACAGCCTATTTAGGTTACACCTAAATCTGTCACTGTCTTAAAGACACATTTACGAGTCGTTTGTTGGATGTATGCACGTGTTACTTGCTGAAAAAAATCACAATAAACGTCTCATTGTTACCTTTGTAAACTGATATAAATCAGCTGCTTTTAGTGCTATGTAAATCAAGTGTCAACCCTTTGCGAAGACAATAAATTCTCTCAAATCGTCGCTCAGCTTGTGAACAAAAATGGACAATTCGGGCAACTGTATAATAAATCGTACAATATTAGAGAATTTACTGTAACGAGAGAACTGAACACTCTATCTTCCGATTTGAAGAAAAACCCTAATTTTGTTGTTTCTTATCTCCATTCCAAGTAACAGCTAAATTAAAAAGAAGGTCAGTAAATTCTCCCGTATTGTCCCTCAGCTTGGAAACTAAAATGGACGATCTGGGAAAAGGGGATACGATTATTCGAGCCTTACCGTTTGTTTTTATAATTGCCGATTATCAGCAACTATAAAGTCTCGAAAAATCGTATCCTCTCTTCCCAAACTGTCCATTTTCATCTCCAAGCTGAATGACAATCGGGCAGAATTTTCGTCGTCGCGTCAAAGATTTGGTTCTACACGTACAGCAATTTCTCCCGGAAATGCCAAATTTCGAGTTGCTGAGAATTTCCCTGTGCTAGTCCCGCGCCTATGTAATTCATTGCTACGTCGATGCTAAGAATCGACGGAGTCGACGAAACCTGCGATTCGGCACGCGACGCGAATTCCCGGAAGGCAATATACAAAATGCTTTGTTCGCCTTCGAATCGTGGCAAGTGGCCTCCGGAACTGCCCTCGAAACGTGCCAGGAAAGTAGAAATAAAAATGTTAAGTATTAATATACATATTATATCATATTATCGTACACCGGCACGCTGGCCGCTGCCATTTCTCGCCGACTGCCCCGAGTTTCCGCGAAGACGAGCCCGCGAGGCTCGAAGAATCGCGTCTTAGTACTGTAATTTTTCCCAAATTCGCACTTAGATTGCGCAGAAAAATAGGCAATTAAATATAAAATATAATCGTAGTATCTCCTCTTCCCAAATCGTCCACTTTTGCCTGCAATACGACCGCGAATCAGGAAGAGAAATCATTGCATTCTCAGGTTATCAATTCCGGTTTCAATTCCGATCTTCGAACATTTCTGTGAGAAATTACCGTACACAGATCAATTCTTAAAACGCGCATCGAATTCCCGCAAAAACCAAAGACAAAGATCAAACGATTTCTTCCTTGAACCGTGTCCGAGACGAGCGCGCACCGCGATATAGTAATGTCTCCCTTACTGACGCTCAGATTGTGCACAGTTTGGGACGAGGAGATACGATTGTCCGAGCGCTGCATCCATTTTTTATAATTCTTGACAATCGGTAACTATAAAAACGAGCCACAAGGCTCGACTAATCGTATCTCCTCTTCCCAAATCGTCCAATTTCGTGGACCAATCCGAGCGTCAATTAGAGAGACATTACCGTACGGTAATGTCTCCCTTACTGACGCTCAGATTGTGCACAATTTGGGAAGGGGAGGTACGATTGTCCGAGCGCTGCATCTAGTTTTCATAACCGTTGACAATCGGTAACTATAAAAACGAGTCGCAAAGCTCAAATAATCCGAGCGTCAATTAGAGAGACATTACCGTACAGTAATGTCTCCCTTACTGACGCTCAGATTGTGCACAATTTGGGAAGTGGAGATACGATTGTCCGAGCGCTGCATCCATTTTTTATAATTCTTGACAATCGGTAACTATAAAAACGAGCCAAAAGGCTCGAATAATCGTATCTCCCCTTCCCAAATCGTCCAATTTCATGGACCAATCCGAGCGTAAATTAGAGAGACATTACCGTACAGTAATGTCTCCCTTACTGACGCTCAGATTGTGCACAATTTGGGAAGAGTTTTCATAATCGTTGACAATTGGTAACTATAAAAACGAGCCACAAGGCTCGAATAATCGTATCTCCTCTTCCCAAATCGTCCAATTTCGTGGAGCAATCCGAGCGTCAATTAGAGAGACATTACTCTATCCCGAGTTAGGCAAGGACCCGCGACGTGGACGCGTTCCGCGGCGCGGCGCGAGATCCGTTGCACGTCGCCGTTGTTATTTCCGCGCTGGGTATTTCAAGTTCATCAGGAGGGAATATCTGCGCGTCCCCACTAATTACAAGGTTTCAAGTTCAATAGCGGTTCGCCGCGAGCGCGCGCGCGCGCGCGAGCCGGTAGGGGAACGGAAACCGTTCTCTCGCGGCCGAGGGGTGTGGTGTTGATCGCGTTCGGTAAATGGCGCGCGGATGCATACGCGGCGCTCGATCGTCGGCGCAGGACGATCTCGCTGGATCCTGCCGGACCTGTCTCTCTCTCTCTTCGTTCGCGAAGGCGTCTTCGGCGTGGGTGTCGCGCCCCCGGCCGGGTGGGGACCGCTGTTGGAACGTTGATTCGCCGATGGTGTTGCGCCGTCGCAGAGGCTAGAGGTCTCCGCCTCGAGGTGTCAGGACGATATTTCGTGCGGTTAGTTGGCGCGCGGGGCCCCGGTGACTGGGACGGCCACTACAGGCGCTCTGTATCAAAGGGTAGACAGGAGACAGGGCCGAAGCGAGAGAGAACAAAAATAAGAAAAAAAGTAAAAAGAAACAACGGGATAATATAAGCTTGTAGGGAAACACGGAGTGACGACGACCACACAGTGACGACGACGAACACGACCGAAAATTCTGATCTGTAGAGCAAAGATATATATATATATATATATATATCGCAACATCGCATATCGCATATAATATCCGCTGGTTCGATCGTCGGGCCTCTCGCGAGCGAGAGTCTCCGATCAGAAAGTGCGCGCGCGCGAGGATCCCGTCGGGAGCGGCCAAAGGTGTGCGGCCAGGACCCATTCGAACGAGAGTTACAGGATTTTCTATCGCGACCGCACCGATCCGACCGTCGACACCCTCCGGAACCCCTTGGATACCTAAGGAGCTGCCTCAAGTAAGTGTTCCTCTCTGTCTGTCTCTCTCTCTCTCTTTGTCTCTCTCTGTCTCTCTCTCTCTCTCTCTTTCTCCCTTCTCTGTTTGAACAAACATGAGCACACATACATACATACATACACACACACAGACACGCGCTGGCTGGATGGTGAGCGAGAGAACGGCGCGAGAGCGTGCAAAAGTACGAGCGAGCGGGGACCGCGGGACCGCGTGTTGTGCGTATCTGGTGCGTATCTGGTGCGTCTGGTGCGTCGGCAGTGCTTCGAACTCTGTGCTACGATCCCTGGATCCCCGCGGACCGCCTTGGACCGACCCGATCCGAGCGGAATTCGCGGCGGTAGAGTCGTTTGCCCTGCTCCCAGAGACGCGCCGGACAGTGGAAGCAAAGCTGGTGGCAGCTAGTGGAACCGCTCGAGGATAATCGCGGCGAGTGTACGCGCGCGGCTTCGGCCGCCTTCGATAGGGTGACCTTGACACCTTGAACGCCGGAGTCCGTTCAATGGCGCCGGGGACAAGGTGGACACGGCGGGCGCGCGCGATCCTTGGAAAATCCGAAGAACCGCTCTTTCTCGATCGTTCGGCCGATGCCACGGCGACGGTGCCGTGAGTAATCGCCACGCGACTCTCTCTCTCTCTCTCTCTCTCTCTCTCTCTCGGCCCAACCACCAAGAACTATTCGTAGACTACTATCTAGGTATCTAGGCTCGAAGTCCATTTATTTTTAGAAAGACGTAACGGGAGGAGGAACGGGTCGTCGTTCCACACGACGCTTCGGTCATCATCTTCGTCTTTGTCGTCGTCTTTGTCGTCGTCGTCGTCGTTGTCGTCGCCGAGCACGTTTCCTTCCGTTTTCGCCGTCCTCTCTACGTCGTGTCGCCTCGTTCCAGGCTTCGTCCGTCGTTTCGTCCCCGCTTCTCTGCGAGCGTTTCGCCCGATCATCGGCTCTCGTTCGCCGCCTCGTCGCGTTCGTCCGTCTCCTCGCGGCCACCATTTTGTCCCCGTTAAACACTGCCCGGTCGCGTCGGCGACCACCGTTTCCACCGAGGAACAACGTCGGACAATGTAATTAACAGCTCCATAAATGGGACGCGCGACGCTGGACACGGCGCGCCGCGCCGTCGTTTCGTCCCGGACAGGATTCCTCGGCGATCCTTCACTCCGGCGTACTTGAGTTTCGCGGTATTTATAGGCGCTCACGGCCAGCCAATCGGCGGATTGCACCTGTTGATCGTTAAACCCTGTCAGATTTAGCATGGGATGACTAATTTATTGTTTCTGGCCCGCGGCTGTCACCGACGGATCGTCGCCGGTTCGACGTGTCGCGCCCGTCTTTTTTTAACCGCGCGCCTTCCGCTCGCTCGGCCGCTCGGAAATACAAGATTCGGCGATCCTGCGCTTTCGCCGGCCGAACGTCGCATCGTCGAAACTATTTCATCGCGTCCGACCCGATGATCGGGATCCGTGCGATCGGATTTCGGAGCGATCGCTTTCCTTTTTATAATTGTTAGCTTCGAACGATTTTTCGAGATTTTTGAAACGGCAGCTTTCGACGAGTGTTTCGACGGGAACACGAGATGGTCGACGGTCGCGTTCGTCGACGGTGCGTCAACCGCTTCCGACAGAATGTGTTTCAAGCTATTTAAGTATTGTCGCGTGATCATCTGGCGTGCTTACTTCGCGCACTCCTTCATATACTCCTCTATCACTTGGTATTAACTAAAGAGCTTTGCCACGCGAATATATGATTATTATAACGATAATAATTATCGTTGTTAAATTGATTCGACTGCGGTACAATTCAATCGTCGCGTAGATTTCGTACGATCTACGAACTTTATCGATGTCCTAGTGGATTTTCCTATCGTGCAATAAAATAAAAATAAAATAAAAGATTTTGATGGATAGCGTCGCCGCGATCTAGATTCCAACTGGCACGCGGATCGAGCAGCTCGAGAAACGAAGGAGAATCGACAGAGAATCGAGAGAGAGAGAATCGTCCGCGGCGGATCCGATCGCGAGGGAAAAGTCTTTCGTCGCGTTCGAGAATAAATCGGGCTTGTCGATATAGGATTTCGGTGGCGTCGACTCGCGCGTTACCGTGGCTTTGAGTCAGTCCACGGAAATAGACGTCGGGACGCCGAGTGATGCCGTGAAAATAGTAGTATAGACAGGCGAAGAGTGCGCCGGAACGCATGCCTCGGCTAATAATTATAACTTGTAGGTCGGATATAGTGCTGCGGCTCGGTAAGTTTATCTCGGCATTAGCCTCTCCGATGACCTAATATTCTTCCCGTCGCCGCAATTCGAGACGTGAATCACTGGCTCGTGACGGGCCGCGAGAGCGGGTCGCTTGGGTTAGAAACCTCTGCCACGAATTCGCTTGGCACGGGGATTCGCGGACGCCGGACGATCGAGGCTCGATCGGATAGCCGATCGTCGGGATTTCGCCGTGCGAAACGGCGGCAATATTTCGCCGACGATTTTTCGCGCCGTCGGGGAACGGCCGTCGGGGGCGGCGGCACCGTTTCTAGCGGACGATATTTTCGTCCCGTCATTGCTACACGGTGTTCCATTCATTCCATTCTTTTTATAACCCGCGCCGGTACATTGTGCTAGTTGTTATTGGGTCAGCCTGTCATCGAATACATTACATCGCGAGAAGACAATAAAATTATGCCAAGTCGCGGCGCGCCGCGATCCGAAAATATTGCGCCGACGTCGCGCCCCGTGCTAGCGTTGGCGCGAAAAACACACCTGTTCGCCCGTTAATTATCGGCCACGATCGTCGATTGGTAACACCCCGTTTGCTTGTCCGCGAACCTGTCCACCGAGAACCAACGGCTCCGCCGAAAATTCGAATGCTAGCCGACGTACGAAACGTTTGAGAGCAAAACGTTTGAATTTTGCTTCTCTAGATCGCTCTTGCGTCTTCGGTCTCCTAACCGCTGACAAACTTCTGAGATTAAGTAGTTCGCAATTTGCGCTTTCAACAATTAAAGACGTCGTTCCGGGGAGATTTGTGCGGAAGATAGAGCTTTGTCCTTGGACTGAGTCCTTTAGGATGTACAAATATATATATATATACTGCAATGGAAACAACAACAAGATTATGTAATGCCGAAAATACAGATTATATATACGTATATATATTTAAACGGAACAGACAATAAATAATATAATAACAAGGTTATATAATAGCGAACACGTAGATTAATTCTCACTAAAAACTAATCAAAGTTCTTGAGTTCAGTCGGGAAGTGCTGGAGCCAACAAAAAATTCTGATATCGTTTTGATATCGATTTGCATTTGCGATGATCCAATTAATGCAATTTTGATGACCGTGAAGGATATGACGAAATTTCTGTGTACAAGAATACAACTATGCCTTGTTGACGAGCGAAATTGGAGCAGTTGGAGAAGACCACTGATTTCGCGACTGTCTACATGTTCATTTAAAGTACAATAAATCCTCCCTAATTGAAGCTAGCGCACAAAAATGGACAATTTGGAAAGAGGAGCCTCGCATCTCGTTTTTATAATTGTTGACAAGCTATAAAAATGAGCCGTATAATCGTGTCTCCTTTTCTAAAATCGTCCATTTTTATTTACAAGCTGAAGGAAAATCAGGGAGAATTTACTGTAAATCTCGATAAGCAGTGTGTGTGTACGCGAGTACTATAAAATTGCCAAATTCTGGAACAATTGGTACCTTCCCCAAATTGTCCATTTTTGTTTCCAAGCCGAGCCGTCAATTAGGCAAAATTTACTGTGCCATGCGCGTGAATAACAAGCGTGCCGGTGCTTCGGTGACGTAAGCGACTCAAGATTGGCGAATTGTAAAAATGAGTCACGACTGTAAAAATGAATGCTGAACGGGCTCTATGTTTATTATCGGATACCGATCGCGACCGAACATTCGATCATTATCCGAGATGCGATCCTAGCCAAAATAGAGAGCAATTTCAAGCAATTTGTTCACATTCTCGAAGGAGTCGGACGCCCCGAAAACAAAGCCAACTGTCTCGCTCGTGTCGCGCTATAATAATTATTATAGTGATACGCCTAGAAAATGCGAGGTCGGTTGAGAAAATCGCGGCGAGATCTCTGACGTTTAGATTCCGATTCCAGACCGTGGCCAGACGCGCGTTAATTGAACACAGACGGGCATCTAGATCGCGCGAAGCGAATAACCCGAGCGTTCGTTGATATTGAGCGACAGCCTGTTAGAATCGCGCCGAGACCCCGAGGTGGTCCAAGTCCTTTTCAATATGACAATGACTGTTTGAACGAGAGAGCAGCAGGTGCTCCCGGTACGGTTTTCGATTCCGAAGAATGCGTGCTCGGTGGAACAACAAACTATTTTTATGGCGAGCAACCGCGACCTCCGATCTAGGTGATTGCCAAAGTTTCCACCGAATCGAAACGCGGCCATCGTTAACTTCGCCGGACGATCTATCTAGGCTAGGAGGGCACTGCGATCTCGACACCGTTCGATCGACGCGATAAATGCTGCACGTTGCGGCTTCGGACGTCGCCGTCGTTTCTCTATCTTCCACTGAACTTTCTCACGCTCGACGATCACGTTCGACGATTATATTTGACGATTACGTTCGCGATTACTAGACTGCGGATTTTATGCATTTATGACAAAAATGAAAAGGTCAAATGTTAAATTGTAGGATCGTCTGGAGAATTTGAGGATATTGTTACATCATTTTCAACTTATTATAATTACTAAAAGTAGAAAGGCATTTTCAACTAACTTATGTTTCTTCCAATTGACTTAAATCATTTTTATATTGCATAAAAATGATAAAAGTATAAATATATACATAATAATAAACATAAGATAATATAATATAACATAAAAAGTATTAGTAGCAGTGAAAAGTACTAAAGTAGTAGAAAAAGTGGTAGTAAAAATAATATAAAAATTGAATACAAGATAATATTGAAATTAAATTAAAATAAATTATTAAATTGAGATAATATTTATATTA